GATGGTTCACCTTCAAATCAATCACTATAATACAGAACATTAACAAAACATAAGGTAGAAATCATATTATTATATCAATAGGGGCCAAAAAGACATTTGACAAGATCCAACACCCATTTATGATTAAAAAACTCAATAAAATGGATATGAAAAAATAGCATTGCAACATAATAAAGGACACATAACAAACCCTCAGGAACATACTACTCAGTGCTGATAAATTGAAAGATATTCCCATAAGATCAGGAAAAAGACCAGACAAGGATGCCCACTCTCACCACTGTTATTCACCATAGTTCTGGAAGCCATAGTCAAAGTGTTGGGGGTGGGGGAGATACTCAAATAGGAATATAGAAGTAAAAGTGTCACTACTTGCAGATAAAATGATTCTATCTATAAAGAAAATCCTAAAGGCTCCATCAACAGTCTATTAGAAACAATAAACAAATGCAGTAAATTAACAGGATACAAAATTAATATATAAAAATCTGTTACATTTCTATATACTCTCAATGAAATATGAGAAAAAATTAAGAAAACAATCCCATTTACAATCACAACAGCAACAACAAAAATAATTAGGAATAACATAACAAAAGAGGTGCGGGACCTATATGCTGAAAACTATAAGACATTGCTGGAAGAAACTGAAGAAGACAAAAATAAATGGAAAGATATTGATTGATCATGGATTGAAAGAATAACAACATTGTTAAAATGGCTATGTTATGTAAAGCAATATACAGATTTAATGTGATCCCCACCAAAATCCCAATGGTATTTTTCAAATAAATGGAATGAAACATTCTCAAATTTGTATAGAAACACAAAAATCCTCAAATAACCAAAGCAACCCTGAAAAAACACACAAAGCCAAAAGTATCACACTTCCTCACTTAAAATTATACTACAAAGCTATGATAATTGAAGCGATATGGTATTGACAGAAAAATACATACAGAGCCCAATGGAACAGAACTGAGAACACAGAAATAAACACACATGTATATGAGCAACTGATTTTTCACAAAGGGACCAAGACATACAATGGGTAAGGAAACCCTCTTTAATACATGATGTTGAGAAACTGGAAAGCCATATGCAAAAGACTGAGAATAGACTGCTCTGTCACCGCACACAGAAATTAAGTCAAAGTGGTTTAAAAACTTGAATATGAGACATAAAATACATTAAATAAAACATGCATTAAACTTTGCACCTTGATCTCAGTGGGGTTTTTGTGAACTTGACCCCAAAGGCAAAGAAATAAAAGCAAAAATAAATGAACAGGACTACATCAAACTAAGAAATTCTGCATAGCAAAAGAAACCACCAAGAAAACAAAAAGGCAGCCAACCAAGTGAGAGAAGACATTTGCAAATGATAACTCTGATAAGGGGTTAATACCCTTCTACACTAACAAAAGCAAAAGATGCAAATTGACCATACCTTTGCGATGCCCACCAGCCAATCAGGAGTGAGTATGCAAATTAACCCAACAAAGATGGCGGGTTAATTTGCATATTCAGATGCCAAGCTGCTGGGGGCTGGGCAGGACGCTTGCATCATTGCCATGGTGATGACACAGGTGTTCAGCTCCACCCCAACCGCTCCAGGCCTCTGGGCAGCGTGGGAAGGCAGAAAGGCAGCTCTGGCCAGAGCGAAGGCGGTGCCGGCAGTCAGGGGAAGGAAGGCCCATTCTTACAGGAATCTTCATGCATCAGGCCTCTAGTAATATATAAAGAACTCACACAACTCAACAACAACAATTCGATTTAAAAATGGGCAGAGGACCTGAATTTTTCTCAGGAGGACATACAAATGGCCAACAGATATATGAAAAGATGCTCAATATAGCTTGTTATTAGGGAAAGGTAAATAAAAACCACAACGAAAGACTGCCTCACACCTGCTAGAATGGCTATTATCAATGAGACAAGAGAATAACAAGTGCGGTGAGGAAGAGGAGAAAGGGACCTTGTGCACCGCTGGTGGGAATGTGAACTGGTGCAGCCACTGTGGAAAACGGTGTGGAGGTTCCTCAGAAAATTAAGACTATGACCCAACAATCCCTCTTCTGGGTATCTACCCCCCAAAGATAATTGAACACACTTATTTATAAAGATATGCCACCCTTGTGTTCATTGCAGCATTATTTGCAATAATCAAGACCTAGAAATAACATAAATGCCCTTTGAAAGACAACGGGGTAAAGAAGCTGTGCTTACATATATACAATGGAACACTGCACAGCCATGAGAAAAGATGAAATATTGCCATTTGCAACAACATGTACGGATCTTCAGAGTATTGTGCTACATGAATTAAATCAGACAGAAAAGGACAAGAACCATATGACTTCACTCATATTTGGGATATAAAACAATGAGGGAAAGGAGACATATGTAATACTTTCAACAATAAAGATAAATAAAATAAATAAATATTTGTTTAAAAATGGTTGTCTTTTTTTTTTTTTCTGAGAAAACCCCTTCTGGGAATTACCATCCTTTAAAAGTAAGATGATGGTAGCAATGGATGCTAGATTTAAATATATACATATTTCTTGCAAAATAAAACATTTACCACCATACATTGGTTTTATTTGTTTATTCGGGATTTCTGTAGGCTTTTTTGGTGGGTGGGGTTGTTTCTTATTTTGGGGGTGGGGGTTGATCCTTATTTTTCCTTGAAAAATACCATTTCGTTCAAAGGCATCTATAATAATAAAAGCATAATATGCTAATTAGACTGGATGACATTCAGGACAAAGCCGGGGCTGTGACCAAAGCCCGGGTCCTGCAGAGGGAAGCTGGTGCCGGCAGCCGGGGAAGGAAGGCCTACTCTTGCACAAATGTTGTGCATCCGTCTCTAGTTTCGTTATAACATTGATGAGATGCCACACTGGCAACTTTTTTTCATGTCCATTGGCCTCCAGTGAAGTGGGTTTCTGTGTATTCTGGGGCCCCCAGGGCTCTCCATGCGGTTATTGCCTGCAGGTGCCCCGCTGGCCACCAGATGGTAAGGCAGCTCCATGCTCGCCCCGCCTCAGCTCCGCTTTTGTCCTGGATGACAATCATTCCAGAAAAGTCTTTCCAAAAACGTCTCATTTCCTCTCTTTATATATTCTGCTCTCTATTAAATAATTTTTTAAAAGCATCCATTAGGTCACTAATCGGTTAATTAAATCATCATTGCTCTTGTATACATGTTTTTATAATGAAGTGTCATTAAAAAACAAACAAACAAACAAAAAGCTGTCACCAGGTCAACTTTTGTGATTTAGCAAGAAAACCCAGGGAGCCAGAGCCCTGAGCCTGCCAGCACTGAGCCCTGTCTCAGGGTCGTGCTCACCGGGTGTTCATCTCCCTGGCAGCGAACCCGCCTCTCTTGGCCTCAAATCCATCTTAGAACAAGTGCCCAGGACTAGAGACCTTCTTTAGGTCCCTTTCATGAAGATCAGAAGGAAAGATCTTATTTATTTTAAGTATATTTTTATTGATTTCAGAGAAGAAGGGGAGAATGAGAGAGAGAGAGAGAGAGAGAGAGAGAGAAACATCAATGATGAGAGAATCACGGATCAGCTACCTCCTGCAGGCCCACACTGGGATTGAGCCCGCAACCCAGGCATGTGCCCTGACCGGGAATAGAACCATGACCTCCTGGTTCATTGGTTGATTCTCAACCACTGAGCTACACAGGCTGGGCCAGAAAGATTTTCAATTTTTTTTAAGTAGTTTCACTAGTTCCATCTAAAATCTGTTCCCATCACAGCACCGTGTTGTGGGTCCCACTGGCCAGTCCAAGGCTCGGTAGCATCTTCCTGCTCTGGAGTAGTGTCAGGCACCACAGGTGGCGCAGCCTCGGTCCATGTTCAGTCCTGTCTCGCTGCTCTGAGTCGGGCTGATTCAGAGGAAGACACCGTCCTGCGTGGCACTCAGCGCAGGTTCCTCCTGCCACAGGCTGGGCTCCTCCCGCCGCTGCCCCGTGCTGGCCACGCCTCACCGGGAGCCACGCTCCCCACTGCGAGCCACGCTCTCCACCTCA